GCTGTTAATGTAGCTTATCCTAAAGCAAAGCACTGAAAATGCTTAGATGGACTATAACTAGTCCCATAAACACAAAGGTTTGGTCCTAGCCTTACTGTTAATTTTAATTAAGCCTACACATGCAAGTTTCCGCTGCCCAGTGAGAATGCCCTCAAAATTCTACAATCGAATCAACAGGAGCAGGTATCAGGCACACCCGTCCCGGTAGCCCATAACACCTTGCTTAGCCACACCCCCACGGGATACAGCAGTGACTAACTTTAAGATATGAACGAAAGTTTGACTAAATTATAATTATACAGGGTTGGTAAATTTCGTGCCAGCCGCCGCGGTCATACGATTAACCCAAATTAACAGAACACCGGCGTAAAGCGTGTTTAAGCGCAAATCTCAAAATAAAGTTAATACTTAACTAAACTGTAATACGCCCTAGTTAACATTAAAATAAACAACTAAAGTGACTTTAATTTCGCTGAATACACGACAACTAAGACTCAAACTGGGATTAGATACCCCACTATGCTTAGTCATAAACCTAGGTAATCCGATAACAAAATTATTCGCCAGAGAACTACTAGCCACCGCTTAAAACTCAAAGGACTTGGCGGTGCTCTAAACCCACCTAGAGGAGCCTGTTCTATAATCGATAAACCCCGATACACCTCACCCCTTCTTGCCAATACAGCCTATATACCGCCATCGTCAGCTCACCCCAATAGGGGACAAAAGTGGGCAAAAATCATTCACCATAAAAACGTTAGGTCAAGGTGTAGCATATGAAGGGGGAAGTAATGGGCTACATTTTCTAAATTAGAAAACCAACGAACTATCTCATGAAACCCTGAGTCATACGAAGGAGGATTTAGTAGTAAATTAAGAATAGAGAGCTTAATTGAAATAGGCAATAGAGCGCGCACACACCGCCCGTCACCCTCCTCAACACAAACCGTCACATTAACTAATAAGTTATCCAAAAAAAGAGGAGAAAAGTCGTAACATGGTAAGTGTACTGGAAGGTGCACTTGGAGTATCAAAATGTAGCTTAACATAAAGCATTTAGCCTACACCTAAAAGATTTCAGTTAGCCCTGACCATTTTGAGCCAATAAAAGCCCATCCACCCACCAACACAATTATATCAAATCTTAACGAAAACATTAATTTAATCACAGTATAGGTGATAGAACAGATAAATAGGCGCATTAATGTAAGTACCGCAAGGGAAATCTGAAAGACAAGATTCAAAGCACCATAAAGCAAAGATTAAACCTTCTACCTTTTGCATAATGATTTAGCTAGTCAAACCGGACAAAAAGAATTACGCCCGTCCCCCCGAAATCAAGTGAGCTACTATAAAACAGTAAACCAGAACCAACCCGTCTATGTAGCAAAATAGTGGGAAGATTTTATAGTAGAGGTGAAAGGCCTACCGAACTTGAAGATAGCTGGTTGTCCAAAATATGAATTTAAGTTCAACTTTAAATTTAACTAAAGTACCCAAAAACATAATTTAAATTTAAAAGCTAATCAAAAGGGGGACAACCCTTTTGATTACGTAAACAAACTTTCCAAGAGGATAATGAACCGCTCCAACCCATTGTGGGCTTAAAAGCAGCCATCAATTAAGAAAGCGTTAAAGCTCAAATCTACCAACATAATAATTCCTAAAATCCCAATCAAAATCCCTTCTCCTAAATTGGACAATTCTATAAACATATAGAAGATATAATGCTAAAATTAGTAACAAGAAATATTTCTCCTTGCACAAGCCTACATTAGCAACGGAATCTCCACTAACAATTAACAAACCTATAGACATAACCAAAGTACTAGAAGACTATTAACCCAACTGTTAACCCAACACAGGTGTGCACCTAAGGAAAGATTAAAAAGAATAAAAGGAACTCGGCAAACACGAACCCCGCCTGTTTACCAAAAACATCACCTCTAGCATAATAAATATTAGAGGCAACGCCTGCCCGGTGAGTTTAACTTTAACGGCCGCGGTATCCTGACCGTGCAAAGGTAGCATAATCACTTGTCTCTTAATTAGGGACTCGCATGAATGGCATAACGAGGGTTCGACTGTCTCTTATTCTTGATCAGTGAAATTGACCTTCCCGTGCAGAGGCGGGAATACAGATACAAGACGAGAAGACCCTGTGGAGCTTAAGATTAATAACTTAACCAAACCAAATAACACCCAACATGGCATAACAACATAAACCCCTAAGTTATAATCTTTGGTTGGGGTGACCTCGGAGTATAACATAACCTCCGAATGACTAAACCCAGATCTACAAATCTAAGTATAATAATATCAGTAATTGACCCATATATTGATCAACGGAACAAGTTACCCCAGGGATAACAGCGCAATCCTATTCAAGAGCCCATATCGACAATTAGGGTTTACGACCTCGATGTTGGATCAGGACATCCAAATGGTGCATCCGCTATTAATGGTTCGTTTGTTCAACGATTAAAGTCCTACGTGATCTGAGTTCAGACCGGAGAAATCCAGGTCGGTTTCTATCTGTACATTCATTCCTCCCAGTACGAAAGGACAAGAGAAATAAGGCCAACATTACCAGATAAGCCTTCGAAACAAGATATGAACTCATCTAAATATCCAAATTCAATACTTCAAACCTCTAGAAATAGAGCTATTAAGGTGGCAGAGCAGGTAATTGCATAAAACTTAAGCCTTTACAACCAGAGGTTCAAACCCTCTCCTTAATACATGTTCATTATTAACCTACTATTATATATTGTTCCAATCCTCCTAGCAGTCGCTTTCCTTACCCTAGTAGAACGGAAAGTCTTAGGATATATACAATTCCGCAAAGGTCCAAACATTGTTGGACCATATGGATTATTACAACCAATCGCTGATGCCGTAAAACTATTCACAAAAGAACCACTACGACCTCTTACATCATCAATCTCAATATTTATTATTGCACCTATTTTAGCCCTCACAATTGCACTAACCATCTGAACACCACTCCCCATACCCCATACCCTCATTGACCTCAACCTTGGACTACTCTTTATCTTAGCCCTGTCCGGACTATCAGTCTATTCCATTCTATGATCAGGCTGAGCATCAAATTCAAAATACGCCTTAATTGGAGCTCTACGAGCTGTTGCCCAAACAATCTCATACGAAGTAACCCTAGCCATCATTCTACTATCAATTATACTCATCAATGGTTCATTCACCCTAAAAAACCTAATCATCACGCAAGAGAACATATGATTAATTGTGACAACATGACCCCTTGCCATAATATGATATGTCTCCACACTAGCTGAAACAAACCGAGCCCCCTTCGACTTAACCGAAGGAGAATCAGAACTAGTCTCAGGCTTCAACGTAGAGTATGCTGCCGGACCATTCGCCATGTTTTTCCTAGCCGAATACGCCAACATTATGGTCATAAATGCTATAACTACCATTCTATTCCTAGGCTCATCACTCAACCATAATTTCACCCACCTTAACACCCTATCTTTCATAACCAAAACATTAGCACTCACACTCCTATTCCTATGAATCCGAGCATCTTACCCCCGATTCCGATATGACCAACTAATACATTTATTATGAAAAAACTTCTTACCAATCACATTAGCCCTCTGCCTATGATTCATCTCCATCCCAGTCGCCCTATCATGTATTCCACCACAAATTTAAGAAATATGTCTGACAAAAGAATTATCTTGATAGGATAAACTATAGGGGTGCAAGCCCCCTTATTTCTAGAACAATAGGACTCGAACCCATATCAGAGAACTCAAAATCCTCTGTGTTTCCATTACACCACATTCTAGTAAGGTCAGCTAAACAAGCTATCGGGCCCATACCCCGAAAATGTTGGTTCATCCCCTTCCCATACTAATGTCTCCATACGTAATACTAATTATCTCAGCCAGCTTACTTCTGGGAACATCCCTAACCCTATTAAGCAACCACTGATTTACAGCCTGAATAGGACTAGAAATTAACACATTGGCAATCATCCCCATAATAACATACCCAAACCACTCCCGAGCCGCTGAATCTGCAATCAAATATTTTCTCACACAAGCAACCGCATCAATAATTATAATATTCGCAATTATCTACAATGCCTGAATGACCAACCAATGAACTCTCTTTCAAATTTCCAACCAAGTAGCCTCAACCCTCATAACACTTGCACTAGCTACAAAATTAGGTTTAGCACCATTCCATTTCTGAGTGCCTGAAGTCACACAAGGCATCCCACTATCATCCGGCATAATCCTACTAACCTGACAGAAAGTAGCTCCCACATCAATTATATACCAAATTTCACCATCACTTAACATAAAAATCCTAATCACTTTAGCCATCTTATCCACACTCCTAGGCGGCTGAGGGGGACTAAACCAAACACACCTACGAAAAATCCTGGCATACTCATCAATTGCCCACATAGGATGAATAGTCATCATCATCTCAATCAACCCAACCATAGCCCTCCTAAACCTACTCATCTATATCTCCGCCACACTAACCCTCTTCCTATCACTAAACCTTACATCGACAACAAAAATCAAATCATTAGCCAACCTATGAAATAAATCCACCCCAATAACCCTTATCATCATACTCACTCTACTATCACTAGGAGGCCTACCACCATTAACTGGATTCATGCCCAAATGACTAATTCTACAAGAACTCGTAGCCCACAACAACATCACAATAGCCATACTAATAGCATTTTCCGCATTACTAAACCTATTCTTCTATATACGAATCATTTATACATCTGCTCTAACAATCTTCCCATCAACCAACAACTCCAAATTACAATGATGTTACCCACAAACAAAAAAAATCACATTAATTCCACTACTCACAGTCATCTCATCCATACTTCTCCCCCTTTCACCACTATTCATCACCCTCTCATAAATAAGAATTACAAGCCTCTATCTTGCATCATCCGAACGCAAATCGAATACTTTAATTAAGCTAAATTCTCCCTACCACAGGCCCCGGCAGCTGCTCAGCCACTTCTTTGAATTTGCAATTCAACGTAATATATACTCCAGAGCCAACATAAAGGTTTAGGTTTAAACCAGACCAAAGGCCTTCAAAGCCTTAAGCAGGTGTTCAACCACCTAACCTTTGTACACTACACATACCTCACGCCTTTATAAGGGAGAGAAAAGGCGTGAGGCCCCGGAGGTCTCTACTCTAAGCCTTATCTACTAAATTGGAGGGTATTTATCCCACTTATTCTTAGTTAACAGCTAAGCGCCTTGACTTTTGGCTTCAATTTACTGGTAAAAAGAGATATCTAGTCTCTGTCTTTGAATTTACAGTTCAATGCTTAACTCGGCCATTTTACCCATGTTCATTAACCGTTGATTATTCTCAACTAACCACAAAGATATTGGCACCCTGTACCTCTTATTCGGTGCCTGAGCAGGAATAGTAGGGACAGCCCTAAGCCTATTAATTCGAGCAGAATTAGGCCAACCTGGAACCCTCATTGGTGATGACCAAATCTATAATGTCATTGTAAGTGCTCACGCTTTTGTAATAATCTTCTTCATAGTTATGCCTATTATAATTGGAGGCTTCGGTAATTGACTAGTCCCTCTGATAATCGGCGCCCCTGACATAGCATTTCCACGAATAAATAATATAAGTTTCTGGTTACTCCCACCCTCATTCCTCCTCCTACTAGCATCCTCAACAGTAGAAGCGGGGGCAGGAACAGGATGAACTGTATACCCTCCATTAGCTGGAAATATAGCTCATGCTGGCGCATCCGTAGACCTAGCTATTTTGTCCCTACACTTGGCAGGCATTTCCTCAATCCTAGGGGCTATCAACTTTATTACTACCATTATTAACATAAAACCCCCAGCCTTATCCCAATACCAAACTCCCCTATTTGTCTGATCTGTCATAATCACAGCAGTTTTACTCCTTCTATCACTTCCAGTACTAGCCGCAGGTATTACTATACTACTAACAGACCGTAACCTAAACACTACATTCTTTGACCCAGCCGGAGGGGCGGACCCTATCTTATACCAACACTTATTCTGATTTTTTGGCCACCCAGAAGTTTATATTCTCATTCTCCCAGGCTTCGGCATAATTTCACATATCGTAACATACTATTCAGGTAAAAAAGAACCATTTGGCTATATAGGAATAGTATGAGCTATGATATCTATTGGCTTCCTAGGCTTTATTGTATGAGCCCATCATATATTCACAGTAGGACTAGACGTAGACACCCGAGCCTACTTTACCTCTGCTACTATAATTATTGCAATCCCAACAGGAGTTAAAGTTTTTAGCTGATTAGCCACACTCCATGGTGGGAATATTAAATGATCCCCAGCAATACTATGAGCACTAGGCTTTATCTTCCTCTTCACTATTGGCGGTCTAACAGGAATTGTCCTAGCCAACTCATCCCTAGACATCGTTCTCCATGACACTTACTATGTAGTAGCACATTTTCACTACGTGCTTTCAATAGGAGCCGTTTTCGCAATTATAGGAGGATTCGTTCACTGATTCCCTCTATTTACAGGGTACACACTTAACGACACATGAGCTAAAATTCACTTCTCTGTAATATTTGTAGGGGTTAACCTCACATTCTTCCCACAACACTTCCTAGGCCTCTCTGGTATGCCACGACGATATTCAGACTACCCAGATGCTTACACACTATGAAACGTATTATCATCAATTGGCTCCTTCATTTCACTCACAGCTGTCATCCTGATAGTATTCATTGTTTGAGAAGCCTTCGCATCAAAACGTGAAGTCTTAACTGTAGAACTAACAACTACTAACATTGAATGACTCTATGGTTGTCCACCACCTTACCACACATTCGAACAACCAGTATTCGTAAAAACCTAGTACAAGAAAGGGAGGAATTGAACCCCCTAAAATTGATTTCAAGTCAACTCCATAACCTCTATGACTTTCTCATAAGATATTAGTAATAAACATTACATAACTTTGCCATAGTTAAGTCATAGGTTTAAATCCTATATATCTTACATGCCTTATCCAATACAACTGGGCTTTCAAGATGCCACATCCCCTATTATAGAAGAATTAACATACTTCCATGACCATACACTAATAATTGTCTTCCTAATTAGCTCCTTAGTACTATATGTCATTATCCTAATACTTACCACAAAACTTACCCATACGAGCACTATGGATGCCCAAGAAGTAGAAACAATCTGAACTATCCTACCAGCCGTAATCCTAGTACTAATTGCCCTGCCATCTTTACGAATTCTCTATATAATAGACGAAATTTACAACCCATATCTTACAGTCAAAGCTATGGGCCACCAATGATACTGAAGCTATGAGTATACCGACTACGAAGATCTCACATTTGACTCATATATAGTACCCACCCAAGACCTCTCCCCCGGACAATTCCCACTACTAGAAGTAGACAACCGACTAGTCCTCCCCATAGAACTCCCAATCCGAATGCTCATTTCATCCGAAGATGTTCTCCACGCATGAACTGTCCCATCCCTTGGGCTAAAAGCAGATGCAATCCCAGGACGACTAAACCAAGCTACACTAACATCAACTCGCCCAGGAGTCTATTATGGTCAATGCTCAGAAATTTGTGGATCCAATCACAGTTTCATACCTATTGTGCTTGAGATAACCACATTGAAATATTTCGAGAAATGATCTTCTATAATGCAATCATTTTTGAGTGCAAACTAATACTGTAAGTATTAAAAAGGTTCAAACCTCTCAAAACACATGCCACAACTAAACACATCAACATGATCCCTAACCATTACCCTGATAGTAATCTCACTATTCTGCATCTTCCAACTAAAAATAATAAACCAAACTATAACTTCAATCCCTCCACAAGAAGACAAGAAATTACCAACAAAACCCCAACTACCATGAGACAAAAAATGAACGAAAATCTATTTGCCCCATTCATCACTCCTACAATCATAGGTATTACAACATTACCAATTATTATAATCTTTCCATGTATTATTTTATCAACCCCAAAACGCTGACTCCCTAATCGTATCCAAACGCTACAAATCTGACTAATCCGACAAATCACAAAACAAATACTATCAATGCACAATACACGAGGTCGAACCTGAGCTCTAATACTAATGTCCCTTATTCTCTTCATCGCATCCACTAATCTCCTAGGTCTACTCCCATACTCTTTTACTCCCACAACACAACTTGCCATAAACATTGGCATGGCCATCCCACTATGATTAGCCACCGTAATCATAGGCTTTCGTAATAAACCAAAAGTATCTTTAGCCCACTTCCTACCACAAGGTACACCCACCCCTCTTATCCCAATACTTATTATCATCGAGACAATTAGCCTTTTCATCCAACCTCTAGCCCTCGCAGTACGACTAACAGCCAACATTACCGCAGGACACCTACTCATTCACCTAATCGGTTCCGCTACATTAGCCCTATCCTCCATTAGCATAACCGTATCAACTATCACATTTACAATCCTCTTCTTATTAACTATCCTAGAATTAGCTGTAGCTATAATCCAAGCCTACGTTTTCACACTTCTAGTAAGCCTATACCTACATGACAACTCCTAATGACTCACCAAACACACGCTTATCACATAGTTAACCCAAGCCCATGACCACTGACTGGCGCGCTCTCAGCGCTTTTACTAACATCCGGCCTCATTATATGATTCCATTTCAACTCCTCCCTCTTACTTATTACTGGCCTAACATGCATACTCCTCACAATATATCAATGATGACGCGACATTGTACGAGAAGGAACATTTCAAGGACATCATACCCCCGTAGTACAAAAAGGCCTTCGATATGGAATAATCTTATTCATCGTATCAGAAGTATTCTTCTTCCTCGGCTTCTTCTGAGCCTTTTACCATTCAAGCCTTGCTCCAACCCCCGAACTAGGTGGCTGCTGACCCCCTACCGGAATTCACCCTCTCAATCCACTCGAAGTCCCATTACTAAATACATCAATCCTACTAGCATCAGGAGTCTCAATCACATGAGCCCACCATAGCCTAATAGAAGGCAATCGCAAACAAATAATCCAAGCATTATCAATCACAATCCTCCTCGGCCTCTACTTCACCATCCTACAAGCCATAGAATATTATGAATCCTCATTCACTATTTCAGATGGAATCTATGGTTCAACCTTCTTCGTAGCTACAGGCTTCCACGGCCTACATGTAATCATTGGTTCAACATTCCTAATAGTCTGCCTTCTACGACAATTTAACTATCACTTCACATCAACCCACCATTTTGGCTTTGAAGCAGCCGCCTGATACTGACACTCCGTAGACGTAGTATGACTCTTCCTATACGTATCAATCTACTGATGAGGTTCATATTCTTCTAGTATAATTAGTACTACTGATTTCCAATCATTAAGTTCTGGGTAAAACCAGAGAAAAATAATTAACCTTATCATCACACTAATCGTCAACTCTCTATTATCAACCATCATCGTTTTAATCGCCTTCTGACTACCCCAACTCTACTTGTATATAGAAAAATCTAGCCCATATGAATGCGGGTTCGACCCATTGGGTTCAGCCCGACTACCCTTCTCACTAAAATTCTTCCTAATCGCCATTACGTTTCTACTCTTTGATTTAGAAATTGCCCTCTTATTACCACTTCCATGAGCTGTTCAACTATCAAACCCCAATACAATATTAATCCTATCATATGGCCTAATCCTACTTTTAACAGCAGGATTAGCTTACGAATGACTACAAAAAGGCCTTGAATGAACTGAATAGGTTTTTAATCTAACTAAGATAATTGATTTCGACTCAATCTATCATGGTCCAAACCCATGAATACCTTATGACTTCCATTAGCCTAAACCTAATCATAGCCTTCTCACTAGCACTAGCAGGAGTACTGATTTATCGATCCCACTTAATATCAACACTATTATGCTTAGAAGGAATGATATTATCACTATTTATCCTAATAGCACTCTTAATTTCTCATTTCCACATACTTTCTGTATCAATAGCACCCCTAATTTTACTAGTATTCTCAGCATGTGAAGCAGGCGTTGGCCTAGCATTACTAGTCAAGACATCCACCGACTACGGCAACGACTATGTTCAAAACCTAAACCTCCTACAATGCTAAAAATCCTAATTCCCACATTCATACTAATTCCACTCACCTGATGATCCAAAAACCCTTGATTATGAATCAACCCAACAACCCACAGCCTACTAATCAGCATCTTCAGCATCATACTACTATATCATAATTCCGACCTAGGCTATTACTATAACACTGCATTTTCCACAGACTCCCTATCAGGCCCCCTACTAGTTTTATCCTGCTGACTCCTCCCCCTTATAATAATAGCAAGCCAAAGTCACCTTACCAAAGAAAATAGTAACCGGAAAAAAACTTACTTAACCATACTAATCACACTCCAACTATCACTCATTATAGCATTCTCATCTTCAGAACTCATTATATTTTACATTCTATTTGAAACCACACTCATCCCTACTCTAATTATTATTACACGATGAGGTAATCAAACCGAACGACTAAACGCAGGCTTATACTTCCTATTCTATACCCTAATAGGTTCACTCCCCCTACTAGTAGCACTGCTATTCATACATAACAACCTAGGATCCCTACACATCCTAACTACAACCATAATACCAAACACACTAAACTTCTCTGCTCCTAACTCAATTCTATGATATGCATGCATAATCGCCTTCATAGTAAAAATACCCCTATACGGCCTCCACCTATGACTTCCTAAAGCCCATGTAGAAGCCCCCATCGCAGGATCTATAGTCCTAGCAGCTATTCTACTAAAACTTGGAGGCTACGGAATCATACGCATTACAATCTTCACCGAACCAATTACCATACATCTATCATATCCTTTTATCATTTTATCAATATGAGGTATGGTCATAACAAGCTCCATCTGCCTTCGCCAAACAGACCTCAAATCCCTAATCGCTTACTCCTCAGTAAGCCATATAGGCCTAGTAATCATCGCAGCCCTTATACAATCTACTCTAAGCTTCATAGGTGCTACAACCCTAATAATTGCTCACGGACTAACATCCTCCATACTATTCTGCCTAGCCAACACAAACTACGAACGAATTCACAGTCGAACCATAATCCTTGCTCGAGGCCTACAAACAATCCTTCCTCTAATATTCGCCTGATGATTGTTAGCCAGCTTAGCTAACCTAGCCCTACCACCAACTATTAATCTCTTAGGCGAGCTAACAGTAATTATCTCATCCTTCTCTTGATCAAACTTTTCCATTATCCTCCTGGGCCTTAACACCGTAATCACAGCACTCTACTCACTTCACATACTAACCACCTCACAACGAGGCAAATTCACTCACCACACCTACCCAATTAAACCATCCTTTACCCGAGAACATATCCTAATAGCCCTCCACCTAATTCCATTACTAATCATCTCACTAAATCCCAAAATCATTCTGGGTATTACATATTGCAAATATAGTTTAACAAAAACATTAGATTGTGAATCTAAACATAGGAGTTCAAACCCCCTTATATGCCAAGAAAGTCCCAAGAACTGCTAACTCTTGACCCCGTATCTAACAGACACGGCTTTCTTACTTTTAAAGGATAACAGAAATCCATTGGTCTTAGGAACCAAAAACTTTGGTGCAATTCCAAATAAAAGTAATTAACTTCATGCTCAATTCCATAATTCTTCTATCAATTGTTATCCTAACACTCCCTTTAATAATCAATCTCGCTTTCCCCCATAAAACTAACCATTTCCCAGCTTACTGCAAAAACGCCGTTAAACTCGCCTTTCTAACCAGCCTCCCCCCACTAATCCTATTCGTATACGCTGACACATCACATCACACGACATGATCTCATCACACCTCAATCAACACCCTCAACCTTTCTATAAGCTTTAAACTAGACCATTTTTCCATCATCTTTATCCCCATCGCATTCTACGTAACCTGATCCATCCTAGAATTCTCACTATGATACATACACACAGACCCAAAAATCCACCAATTCTTCAAATACTTAATTACATTTCTCCTGACTATAATCATCCTAGTCTCTGCCAACAACTTATTTCAACTGTTTATCGGATGAGAAGGGGTAGGTATTATATCGTTTATGCTCATCGGTTGATGGTACGGACGATCTGACGCTAACACAGCAGCTCTCCAAGCTGTCCTATACAACCGCATCGGCGATATTGGCTTCATACTGACCATAGCATGATTAATAATCAATAACAACTCATGAGACCTTCAACACATCTTCATAACTAATATAAATACCCTAGCCCTCCTAGGCCTAATCATTGCCGCAACAGGCAAATCAGCCCAATTTGGCCTCCATCCATGACTCCCCTCCGCCATAGAAGGGCCAACACCAGTCTCAGCCCTTCTTCACTCAAGCACCATAGTCGTAGCAGGAATCTTCCTACTGATCCGCTTCCACCCTATAATAGAAAACAACAACACAGCTCTTACTACTGCCCTATGTCTCGGCGCTACAACAACCCTATTCACCGCAATATGTGCTATCACACAAAATGACATCAAAAAAATTGTAGCATTCTCCACATCAAGCCAACTCGGACTTATGATAGTAACCATCGGCCTCAACCAACCACACCTGGCATTCCTACATATCTGCACCCACGCCTTCTTCAAAGCAATACTATTTCTATGCTCAGGCTCTATCATCCACAGCCTAAACAATGAACAAGACATCCGAAAAATGGGAGGACTCCTACACATTCTCCCCATTACCTCATCAGCCTTAATAACAGGTAGCCTGGCACTCATAGGAACCCCCTTCCTAGCCGGCTTTTACTCTAAAGATTCCATTATTGAAGCTATAAACACATCCTACATCAACTCATGAGCCATGGTCATAACCTTAATCGCCACCAGCCTAACAGCCATTTACAGCCTACGAATTATCTACTTCGCCTTACTTAACCAACCACGCTTCCCCCCAATATCGCCAATCAACGAAAATAACCCAAACCTAACAAACCCCATTACACGCCTAGCCCTAGGCAGCATCTTCGCAGCATTTATTCTAACAATAAATATCCCACCAACTTCCATAGTCCCAATAACAATACCACCAGCCCTAAAACTAACAGCCCTAATCGTCACTATCATCGGCCTAATCATCCCCATAGAACTTAACTTGTTAATTAACAAACTTCCAACAACCCCTATAATTCATACAGATAACTTCTCCAACATGCTAGGCTACTTTACACACCTCTTTCACCGTATATACCCCCTAGCAAACTTACAAATAGGTCAACACATTGCTACCATACTAATCGACTTAAACTGATACGAAAAAACAGGACCTAAAGGCCAAGCAAACCTTCACAACACAACATCATCATACATCACATCTACCCAAAAAGGCTTAATTAAAACATACTTCCTATCATTTATCATTACTATCCCCGCAATTTTCGCAATAATCACCTAATCACGACCACGGACAACTTCTAAAACAATATAAATCGTAATAAACAAAATCCAACCTAACAACACTAAAGCCCATCCCCCACACCCATACAACAAAGACACCCCACTATAATCCCGACCCACACAAAAACTTCCAACACTATCAAACAATTCAACAGCAGTAACAATCTCCACCTCCCCAGACACAAAATACCAAATCAACTCTACCAACAAAGTAAACAACAACATACCAAAAGCCACCGCGTTACCCACTCAACTCTCAGGGTACTCTTCAGTAGCTATAGCAGCAGTATAACCAAAAACCACCAACATACCACCAAGATAAACTAAAAAAACTACTAGACCCAAAAAAGTATTCTCCAAACTAACAACAATTGCACACCCCAAACCCCCACTCGCCACTAAACTTAAACCCCCATACACAGGAGATGGTTTAGAAGCAAAAGCCACAAACCCAACAATAAGCAATAAAGAAAGTAAAAAAATAACCATTATTTTCATTATTTTAGCATGGACTCTAACCATAACCTATGGCATGAAAAACCATTGTTGTCATTCAACTACAAAAACTAATGATTAACCTACGCAAAACACATCCCCTTATAAAAATCGTCAATGAAGCATTCATCGACCTACCCACACCCTCCAATATCTCCGCCTGATGAAATTTTGGATCACTATTAGGAATCTGCCTTATCATACAAATCCTAACAGGCCTATTCCTAGCCATACATTACACCTCCGATACCCTAACAGCCTTCTCTTCAGTAGCCCATATCTGCCGAGATGTGAATCACGGCTGACTCATCCGCAACCTCCACGCCAACGGAGCGTCTATATTCTTCATATGCCTATACCTCCACATTGGCCGAGGAATCTATTATGGCTCCTACCTCTACAAAGAAACATGAAACATCGGAGTATTTCTTCTACTCACAGTTATAGCAACTGCTTTCGTTGGCTATGTACTCCCATGAGGACAAATATCCTTCTGAGGTGCAACCGTAATTACCAACTTATTATCAGCCATCCCTTACGTAGGCACCACCCTAGTAGAATGAATTTGAGGTGGATTCTCCGTAGACAAAGCCACACTGACCCGATTCTTCGCCTTCCATTTTATCCTACCCTTCATTGTCACAGCACTAGCTATCGTTCACCTACTATTCCTTCATGAAACAGGCTCAAACAACCCCTCAGGAATTAACCCCGACGCAGACAAAATTCCCTTCCACCCCTACTACACTACCAAAGACATTATAGGTGCAATCCTAATAATCCTTGCCCTCCTACTACTTACCCTATTCTCACCCGACATGTTAGGAGACCCAGACAACTTCTCCCCTGCCAACCCCCTCAGCACACCACCCCACATCAAACCAGAATGATATTTCCTATTCGCCTACGCTATTCTCCGATCAATCCCAAATAAACTGGGAGGAGTACTAGCCCTACTAGCATCCATCCTAATCCTCCTAGTCATCCCATTCCTGCATACATCCAAACAGCGCAGTATAATATTTCGACCCATCTCCCAAACCCTCTTCTGAATTTTAATCGCAAACCTCCTCATCCTAACCTGAATCGGAGGACAACCTGTAGAACAACCTTACATTATCATCGGACAAACTGCATCCATCACATACTTCCTCCTAATCCTCATTCTAATACCCGCAGCAGGACTATTTGAAAACTACATACTAAAACCTAAATGAAGAGTCCAAGTAATTTAACAAAAATACTGGCCTTGTAAGCCAGCAATGAAGGAAACCTCCTTCCTAGGACATATCAAGAAGAAAGCAACACGCCTCACCATCAACACCCAAAGCTGACATTCTCATTAAACTACTTCTTGAACTCTCACTATGCAACCCAACCATATGATATGTCAGTATTAAAAATTATTTCCCCAACAGCAAACAAAACGCGCGGTATACATATTATGCATATAGTACTACATACATTAAATCAATGATCTATGACATATTATGCATATAGTACTACATACATTAAATCAATGATCTATGACATATTATGCATATAGTACTACATACATTAAATCAATGATCTATGACATACTATGTATATAGTACATTCATTTATTTACCTCTAGCATATAAGCTATGTACATTAAACTCAAATATCACTAAAAAAGAAGACCAAAACAGTACTAAAATTATAAAACTCATAAATTACCCATTAAAACTACGCATATATAATACTAAAAACATATAATATCAATGTAATAAAACATAATATGTATACAGTACATTATTCTATCTACCTCTAGCATATAAGAGTATTACTATAAACACAAATAGTACTAAATACATTAAATCAATATAGTACTAATAATTATCAGATGACATGCATATCTAACATTACATTAACAGCATAATTTTACATAAGACATATAACGTTGGCGTACATAGACATTACATCAATGATTCGCTATTATATTTATCTTAATATGACTAGCATATCTCAATTTAAACAAATAACTAAATCCCCATATAAGGAGAGATCAGCATCCCGCTTTCTTAAGGCTTATCATCCTTCAGAGCAGGCCCATTAATAGCGGTCGTACCTAGAATCCTTTGACTGGCTACTGGTTGTTATCTCAGGTCCATAATAACCTATTCAGCTAATCTATGCTTTTCGTAGAGGCATTTGTGATGCTTGGAGTGCTAATCAGCCCATAACGCGGCATAACTGAATTTCCTGGCATTAGGTAGATTTTTATTTTGGGGTGGTAGCTCAACAGGGCCGGAGCCTGGAATTTCGCCGATACTTACAGTTGACTGACATTTACTACATCTGTATAGCGGAATTTACAGTGAATGCTTCGTAGACATATTATGAATGCTCGATTGACATAAATATTATATTCTTAATATATTATATATACTTATTCCCCCCCCCCGCGCAAAAACTACGCGAGCGCGCGTGCGTATAATAATTTATAATAATTTATAATAATTTATAATGGCTTCTATTCATTAAACCCCCTACCCCCTTACTAAAATGATCCTTTCCGTCAAACCCCAAAACCGGACGATCGCACTTTTAGCAGTCCAATACACTTACAAGACAACCCAAACAAGACTTGTAAAAGCATCACAAAGACACTACAAAGGCGTTACAAACATACCATAGAAGCACTATAACTCACTACAAGATACTATAAAACATCGTATAAATTATAAAGACACTACAAGAACATTGTAAAAGAACAGACCAGACCACCAATAATATGAAAACTCTGGCTACTACTCAAGCTGTATGAAATCCTATAATTAAATTTTTTTATTTTTAAGTTCAAACTCGATAAAAATTTAATACTGACATAGCATATAAATGCAACTTAACAAAAGAAAAAAAAATTTTACGCCG